AGAAAGGAATTAATACACCCGCATTATTACCATTTAAGGAAGACTAAAAATTACGCAAAAACACATTGTTTAAATCAAAACAGTATTATATCTTTATATATTTATCGCGATAGGTAGTATTGGAAGGCAATCATTTACAAATTCAAGAAAGAAAAATAAAACTTTAACACAACCAAAAAGCAATTCGTTACTTTTATATTACTCGACAAACATCGCCCGCGTATAATAATAATTGTACGGATCGATGGGTAATGAACAACAAATAGACGTAAATATAAGTTATTCGATGCGGCCTCCATATTTATTTCGTGAATGTTAGGATAAATTTCAAGGTTGGCACAAGCGGCTAGTTTCCGTATTTATCGGTGGGTCGATTTCGGCAGCCCTAGGTGGCGGCGGTGTGGCGCTTAGATGTCGCTAGGGCTGACGATTTAACCGTGCGATTTTTATAGGGCCTGTGGGAGAGAGGGGACTATTTGCATATGATCGCCGTTTAGTCGACCCTACGTATGACAGGCCCCTTTTGGTCAGTCAGTCAGGGGCGAAGGAAAACAATTGACGGTGGGACTAATGAAGCCCTTCGCAACATTTCAGCGTCTATATAGAAGAGCTTAGCGCTTATCATCAGTTGGAATTGAGACACCAATTTATGACAAAAGTTATAAACTTAAGAGATTCTGACCGCAAATGCTTTGGAATTTTATTAATATTTTAAATTACTAACGAACCGAGCGCTTTGCATTTATTACATGAAGGTGATTAAATCGGTAGACTCGTTTCATTTAACTGTAGCGAACGAAGTTTAACACTTCTCAGTAAACAAAAATTACACTTTACTAGCTATCGTCTCATGCGAGTACGCATGAATATTGCTACCACATAATGGCAGTTTTGTATTCAGATTAATACAACACAAACCTATTATTGTGTTTTTGTTGCAAAAAAAATATGATCGTCCCGTCTGATTACAACTTTGTGTCAACCATGCGATTCGTCTGGTGAGTGAGGTGGCCGGAGCCCAATTGGGTTGTCAACGCATCTGGAACCCTCGGGTGTAGTAGATGTGTCCATGGGCGGCGGTATTCACTTAACATCAGGTGAACCGTCAACTCGCTTGGCTACTTTTCACATAAAAAAAATCCAGGCAAGAGTCAACAGGCGTCTGCTCCAGCTACCGCCTCTATCTCCAACGACTGTGTTACCAATTAATAGGTTTTGGACTTCCCACCAGTGCCTGCATATAAACTCACGCACACAAATGTTTACTTTCACGTTCAATATTTGTAAGACACAATAATCATTTCGATACATGCACTGAATGATATTTCATTTTGCTCCTAACGATTCTTATTCTCGATTGTAACACCCATCAATCTTCTCTGGTTCGATCATTCAAACGAAGAATGCTAAAATATTAAGAATAATGTAAAGTAATCGCAAACAAATCAAAACAGGGTTGAACATTTATTAGAAACCTTGAAATGAATAAATGCGACCGAAAAGGGACATTAATTGTTTAATCCGGGCCAAATGAAATTAAACAAGTGATTAATGTTCAATTCAAATTTTATTTCATTGGCAACCCTAGCGAAATCTATAGCCGGCGCCGAACGGCTTTAGCCAGGGCTTGTTCAAAGTGGAGATTTATTCAAACATAGTTATTTTTATGGACTGAACTAAGTTGATTGGCATATAGAATTGTAAAGGATTTCTCTGCAAAACAGGCTAAAAACATATGAGAATTTAATATGTCTTCGGGTTAAACTGTTATAATAGAACCGATAAAGAGGTTGAAACATGAAAATTATGGATGTAATGGTGTAGTGCCTATGAGATAACACACAAAAAGTACACAGTAGAACATACACATCGTAAGGGCGATTTTATAAAAAAAAAAAACATCAACGCACCCTTCAAATAATGTAGTCAACACTTAAGTCGTTTTTCTTATTGTTTTTAAATCCCAAATCACAATTGACAAGTGCTTGGTTTGCGATTTACACTCCTACGAGTTACGGAAATCACGCAAACCACGACATCGGAGTTTGAACCAGTGACAACAAATCAAACTAAAGTGAAACTCATTAATGGGACGGCAAAAGAAATTAGTCACTAAATGTAACAACTTGGACGTTTACAAACTTAAAACATTAAATCTCGCCGATCATAACACGACGCCAAAGATTAATTGCTTTTTTTACGAGAATCGCTGTAAAATATTATGTCTCACAGATAAAATCTAATTTATTATGGTACAAAAAAAAATCTAAAGGGAGCAAACGACACGGACGGGACGTATGACAATTAAAACGTTTCTTTTTTGTTTTTTACTAGTTTCCATTTCGAAATAACTCATGTCGAAGGGACGTCTGGTCTAGCTATTAAAAAACATCGATTTTTATTTTTAGTTCATTTGACATTGGACTTGCTGTCTGTGCCGTTTAAATTAGCCGCGACGTTCACTGTTGAAGCACATAATTTACTATTCTACCGTCGATACGTGACGTGGATCGATTTTAAACTTTAACTTCCAGCATTAAAGCCGTGATTCGGTTACAAATTAGCGAGCTTTCTTGTACGGATAGAGGGACAAAAAGATCCGACATATGGTGATGTTTTTTTTACTTTTTCAGTGAGTCAATCTCGGAGTTGCCAGTCTATATTTTGCGAGAGATAATAAGGGGATCAGAGAGGGACAAACTCGGACTGATTGTTTCTTGTTGAGGCTTTCGATTTGAATACAATTGTTCTATCGTCTGATGGTACGGTGTATATATTTTTAAATAATCTATTCCCGAAATATTTGCTACATGCTTGCTGATACCCAATTTCTATGTACCTCTAAAAATAGCATTTCTACGATCATCTTTAACAGCTTCTTAAATACATCTTATTTGGAACAACGTTTTAGCAAGCATTCGTTTTCTATCTAATTAGAAAAACGTTGTCTCAATTAGAAATATTTTCATAATGAATAATAAATTCTTTATGCATAAGTGATGTGTAAGATACGCTCAGATATCGTCAGATATCTTCTGTCAAGCTTACATTCACCGCCTGTTACATAGGAAATTTAATATCTATGCCGCTAATATCAGCTGTCGCTAATTAGTTGAATTAAATACACGCCCCTAACAGCCTATTATGTTATGAGATTGATATGCCGGCTAGTGAAGTTCCGCGGAAATTTCTGCGGCCTCTAGTCCGGACCGAGTTGGTTAAAGTTTAAATTACAGTAGGTGCTTTGTTACAACATTGAAAGCAATAATGACCGTTAAAATGATAAATATTTTATATTCAGTATTTAATATTAGAGTAAATAAAAAAAAAAAATTGAACATTTTTCATTTAAATTAAAGTAATATAAATGTTTTAATTTAACCCATTATGGAATAAGGTGAGTGTATCTAATAATGTAGGGAATATGAAACACAATACACTTATGGCAATTCATTTTGTTCGGTGAAATAATTTATTATCAGGACTTAAACGTTCTCTTTCTTATCGGTACGTCACTAGCGTCGGGTCGGATATGCCGGCGTGAAAATACTTTACAAGTAGAACTAATTGTCAGGATGACTTTGTTAGGGCGGCTCGGAACAGAAATAATATTGTAAAAGGCTCTGTCAGCTGTCAGTTACAGTGCAATAATATCGGGGGATTGGGCCTTTGAATATCGGATTTATTCAATCACCGACATTCAGGTACGTTTTTGGCGAACGTCGATATTGTTTCGATATAAATTTCGCGTAGATATTTATATACTTTCCGAGGACTAATTTAGGTTTAAACTGAAGTAAGAAGTTCTAAGCTCTTCTTTTTTGCTCCTGCCCGTGTCCCTCACTAAGTGTGATGGTTATGGTATATACAAATATTCTTTCCTCCCAATTTCCTCTATCAGCCGCCATCTCAATACGAGTATTTTACTCAATGATCATCCTTTTCTTTCACAGAAATATCATTCTTCACACAGTCCATCCTCTAACTTTATTCCTTTCAACCACATTCATGCTCCTTACTCTTCTAGTACATGAGTTTTATTCTTTCGAATTCAAGAAGTTCATACAAATCCAGTACATTCATACTTCGTGCGTAATAAATTGGTAATTCGTAATAAATATAACTAGACTAACTACGTTGAGGAAAGACAGATAAGGCGATTTTTGTCTTATGGGTTAAACACAGGTGAATCTAGTCTATGTATGAAGCCTAAATAACATAGTCATATAATAATATTACATTGAAGTAGGTAAATTCGTACAGTATAATTATAATTTGACCCTTAAATTGATATTTACAAAAAAAAAAATTGCACGTTTACTTTTGAAATGTTTGGAAATATGTACATTATATAAAATAAAAAATTATGATTTGCGACAATGCGGGCCGTACAAAAAGGGGGCTGCTCAAGAAGGCGGCTGCCGACAGAGGTCACGATTAAGAAATATGACGGTCGTCGCGTCGAATCCGTAGACATAATTGATACAAATGCTACGACACCATATCTTCTGTTGCCAAATTCATTTAGCGCAGTCAGAAATCGCAATCGGGTTGGCGAGTTAAATACGTGGCGCTTAGTGATTTTCATAGTAAGTAACGAAGTTAGTTGATTCATTATTGACAACCCTACATTTGAATTTAACGAGCAGGGTAGTCAAACGAATTTCGGAAGAAGAATAAGATATTCATTACATAGAAATATTTTTAAACATTATATAGTGTTCATACAAATGTAGTGATTACCTACATTTTTACGAACAGCATTACAGCTATAATGTTTTTATGCATTGTTACAGTTAAGTTTTTCAGTTGACCTTTTGCTTGATATCATCTGCTCTGTCATTCACGACTCCATTTCAAAACATAAACATGATATATCGCCAGATTTTCGAATTCATTTTCATTAAGACAATACGAGTAGCTCGTAGCTAAGAACACCATACGAGCGGAGCGCGGTTAGTTTCCAAACAAAAGAGGAACGGAACGACTTGGATTGATTAGGGCTGCGCAAAGAGTACATTTATAGGGCACCTCACAACAATGGCCCCACCCAGGTCCTCCTCTGTGGCGGAATTAATGGGCGCGTCGCTCGTCGAGCAATCGGCGCGGCGCCACCAATCTTTGTCCCCGTTACAATATTGAATTAATGTAATAATAAAGTTTAATTTCGCACCTGTCAGCCTGTCAGTGGCGCGACATCGGGGCGCGCTCCCATTTCCGAGAACGTTAGCGAGCACCGCCGCGGATGCGGACGGGCGTTTTCGAAGTGCCGAATTGATTTCGCTATGTGAAGTTGACGCGAAATTAGCGTTCGGATCACTTGTGGGCGAGGTCACTGCAGATGGTTGGATTTCAGCGGTCCTTACCTGAAAGGAGACATCAACGTTATAGTTACACGTCGATTTCGTTATATATTTATAATAAGATGGGATGGTGTAGCTCAACGGTTAGAGGTACACAAAGAGTTATAGGAAAGACAGCGTTATTTCCAACATTGGGGACGTTTTATAGGTGTTAAACGATGCAGCGTGTTGGCACCTGTTTGGGATAATTTTCGCGTTACTGTTAAAACTTAGGGCCACGCAAGAGTCTTCGCTGATGCACGAATGGGCAGCTCCATCCGGGTAAGTACGACGACCTCGCAGAAGACCGTGAAGGGGAAGCGTCATACTTCTGCGTTTCGTCTAATGGCACTACGGGTGTTGTAAATGTCCATGGGCGGCGGTTATTGCTTAACATCAGGTGAACCGCCACCTCGCTTGCCACCTTACACATAAAAAAGTCGCTGTCGGCAACGAAGGGGTATCCATCTTTATAAAAGGGCTGACGGGAAGCTGTTCAAATTCTGAACATCAACGGGACTTTGGCTGACGATCTTTCACGAAGCTTGAAGCGATCTCTCATCGCAAGATCCAAAACACGAAAAGAGATATATTTTTATTTTTTATTTATTATATATTGGGAGAACAGTGCCAGTGGGTGATTTAAAGGTTGTGCCAAGATAGATTTAATCTCATTAGGGACCGATCAAACAGCACGAGAATAGCCTAATGAGTATCGTGAGAAATGGATAAAATGTGTGCTCGACGGGCGAAAGACTTACAACGATGCCTTGCTTCGAACAGTTGCGGACGGGCAAATGAAACGTTACCGAGTTTCAATCAATATTATCCCGCCACAAGACGCCCGATGTCTTTCTAACTTAGCTAAGAGATTTCGGTCTGAATATTCGAGACGCGCAATTGTAAGTGTCTCGCTCTGTGACTTATCTCGCAATTCCACGCCAGATGCGCATATAAAGCGCTTTAACAAAAGAATCGAGCGTCACTAACAAGCTTGATGGAATGAGCGGGATATGCAGAGGAGACTTATACCGCGCCGAGCGATGTACGACGGAAAACGTAATTTTATTAAATAATATGATTTGAATATTTGAAAGACAGATGTAGACTAATGGAGGGAAGAGAATTTACGCTTATAAGCTATGTTTAAGAAATAATTTAAGAACAGCGTATTGTTACCCCCTATGACTTTTGATGGATTTAAAATGTAAAACTGTGAAAATGAATATAGTAAAACATTGTTATAATTAACATCAATAAGAAAAAACCTCACTTACGGAACTGGAATATGAATATTTCTAGGGAATTTAAATACGACTTTAAAACATAAGATTTGTTTATGTTAGCTGTCCAATTCATTATTAGATTTAATTATGATTATGAACATGCTACGATGAGCTTTTGCATCATTAAACATTAATAAGGGCACGTTTCTGTGCGTAATGTAGAAAAACAATTGTGATTTTTGAAGACTATCAGACGGTTTGATATATTGAACATATATAGTAATCTCGTGGTGACAAGTTTACCGCAACTTAGCTTTGAACACAAAAAATCTATGGGATTCTATAGCATCAATGGAAGGGATTTTAACTGGATATTCGTTTATTAAATACTAAAAACATCCAATCATCCTTAACAAAGTTTCCCAACTACTGTTGATGTAGGACCGCAGAATTTGTGTGACCTATTGAAACTTTTGAAACAACAAAACCTTTCAAACCTTTTCAAACCTAACGGGGCAGATACTCATAAGAGTAGAATATGTTATTCTAATCGACCTCATTTATTCTCAAAGCTAACTACTTTTTTATGTAAGAAACCTGTTGGTTCACCTGATGTTAACGATAACCATTGTCACCTTTAAAAAAAGTGGGTCCGGCAACCACACTCACCAGACGAACCGCAGAAGTATAACACTTCCACTTCTCGCCGGTCTTCTGTGTGGACGCGGTTCTATCCGGACGGACCTGCCCATTATTGCAACAGCGAAGACTGCTGCGTGGCCCTACTACAGTTACTGGTAGAGAGTGTGTAGTTATGACAAAGATATAGCCTTCAAACATAGGTTTTTTAATCGTGAACAATCTGAACTATAGATAATTATTACTGTGGTTTGAGCCCACGAAACCTCTAAGATCGCAAGCTGACGTTTCTATCAAATGGCACCGCTGCAACTATAGTTATTTAATACAAAACTAAGTAGCCCAGAAGTTTTATATTAGAAAACTTCTAGATTGAGTTACTTACGATAGTGTCTTTAAGATTTAAACTTTACTACACACGCCTATTTAAAGTTGTGTCGTGTACACACTGTGTAGGTACCGCTGTCGGTTTGTGTGCACCATCGCGTGTTGTGTTTGACTTTGGTTCGCGTAAGCCCAAACCAAACACTATAAAGTTCCGTTGACACGGCGAACCGCCGCAGATGCGTTTCCACCGCCGCTTACTCGTACACGAAAACCAAGTTTAATTGTTGTAAGTAGTACACACGGTTAAAGCTTTCGGTGTAACGCCTAGAGCGATGCTCAACCATCACTTAAATTTGCTTAGATAATTTTGGCGTTTGGACCAATTGTGACGTGACGAAAACTTGAACCGATAAACTATTGCGAATTTTTATTTTTATATACGTATCGAGTCTTTAGACTGTTAAAACAATTTTCAACTGTTTATCATCTGACCGATTGACAAATAGATGAGGCGGAAATATAGATACTGATTGGGCATGAAATGGCAGTCATCAATTGGTGACCATTATTTTGGATTCTTACAAATACCGAAATTCGCTATACACTCGTGGTGAAACTTGGACTAAAATATCTATATATATATATATCTTGTTAGAATCATAAATGTGGGAGTTCACTAATTATCGATAATTTGACCTGCCCAAGGTTATGGAATGTGTGATTTTTTTCAATGAGCCAAAATGCTACATAATTTAATTAATTCTTCTCATAACAAAACATAATAGCTCACGTTACAGCCACTGTTTTGCTGCTACTGCGAGTTCTACCCAAACAATGAGGGTAGGTATGCATCCTGGAATAGACAGCGCCGCCGGTACAACCGGTAAGTTCCGGCTATCCATCATTGGTACACGGTTCCCGAACGTAATCGGTAATGAAGGGGTGCGGGGCGTGGGGTGTAATACCGATCAATGCGGCCCAGGGTGGCACAGGGCTGGCCTGTATCACCGGCGGGAAGTAATATCGTTTGAATTTTAAGTTTGTTGTTCTAGAAACCGGTCTTACATACAAATCTGTCGTTGTTCACCGATAGAGGCCACAAGCTTAACGCCAGCCACCTGAGCGTAAACGGGACATATTCTTAATTTTAGGGCATGGCGAATTTAGCTAATCGTATCGAATTTTTAGATTTGGCATATTCATATTTTTTGTACATACAGTTAGTACACAAGGCACTTAAATATACACACCGGCACAATTAGCGGAACAGAAAAAATGTAATTAGACACAAAATAACAAATTGATTAACATCTTTTAACAACGACTTTGAAAAGTCTTCGTAATTTTTTATTGAAAAATAAAGAAATTTGAAATAAGTGAAATTTTTAGATGATTATGAACCATCACAAAAAATAAAAAAAAGTAAGCATTAAATGATTTAACAATAAAATTAAAGCAAAATTAATAACGAGTGTTTCCCCCTCTTGCTCTGATTACGATTCGTCTGGGCATGCTACAGATTATGTTATCGATGATTTCTTGAGGCAACCGCCCCCACTCCTCCAGTAATGCGTTTCCAAGTTCATTCAGATTGTTGGGGGATGGCATTCTGGATTTAACCCTTCTTTTTAGCAAGTCCCAGACATGCTCTATCGGATTCATATCTGGGGAATTTGCTGGCCACTGCATCACCGGTATAGCTACGTGGCTCAGATATGCCTGTACCGATTGTGCACTATGAGCACGAGCATTATCTTGCATTAGAATAAAGTCGTCACCAATAAATGGGGCAAATGGTACAACATGTTCTTCTAAAATGTCTCTGATGTATCGATCTGCTGTCATGGTCCCTCCTGTGACTATCACTAACTCCGTGCGAGCTCCCAAACATATCCCTCCCCAAACCGTAATCGAGCCGCCACCATAAGCCACTGTGTGTTCAAAATTAGACTGTATGTGGCGTTCTCCTTTGCGTCTCCATATTCGCTGTCTCCCATCGATCTGTTTTAAAAGAACTCTGCACTCATCAGTAAAGACAACCTGCTGCCATTCGTTCAAATCCCAATGACGATGTTCTCGCGCATAGCTTAATCGGTTTACGCGGTGACGTCTCTCAAGTTTTGGGCCTTTGGCAGGTATATACGACCCTAAACCAACTTCTTCAAATCTCCTGCGAACTTTACGCTCACTTACTCGTACTCCTCGAACGTCTTCCAGTTCATTTCGAGCTTGTACAGCCGTTAATCGCGTATTCCTACGAACTCCAAGTTGTAAAAAACTGTCATCTCGCCTCGATGTACATCTTTTTCTACCTTGACCCTCACAAGAGAATTAGACGATCTGTACCGCTGAATGCTGCGATGAATCGTTGATACTGCTCGACGAAGCCTTGAGGCAATCGATCTGTAGGTATGGCCATTTCTCCTCATTTCATCAGCCCTAATGATTTCCAGTGATATTAAGTCAGGCATAATAAAGAGCTTTTAATAAACAAAATTGCCTATAGAATAACAAATTTATAAAAAACCATTAAGTGCAATTTTTCAAAAAAAAATACAATTACGTAGTTATTACTCGAACAAGTTGACAAAACGTATTGTTCGGGAAAATAAAACAAATGAATGAAAAAAGTGTATGTCATCTAATTTTCTATTTTTAAATTTGACAACAAATTAAAAAAATATCATAACTGGCCAGTTCCTCAAGTAAAAGATTTTAAAATCCTGCTTTTTTTTGTGTTCCGCTAATTGTGCCGGTGTGTATATATTCTTTGTAGTCTGAGATGTCAACTGTGGTTTAATGCTGTCGACTCTTATCGGACACCATGCAGTGTGCAACGTCAACTCCCAATTTCAATTTGAGTTTCCATTTCTTCGATTCTGGACGTGCAGAAATCACCGAGATGCATTTGTACCTTTTGTACGATGTGCAAAAAGGGGCAGACTTTCCCGGGGAGGCTCGTCAGGGAATTAATATGGACTCTCAGTAGACCAATATGAATAGGGAATATACTATCGCCTTTCGTCTGATGAGTAAGGTAGCCGAGGCTCGCTTTTTACAGGTTGGCATAGCGTCTGCAACCCGTCAGATAATTTGGATATCCAATGTAATCACTTAACATGTGTACCAACTGCTCGCTTGCTAAGTTTTCACATAAAATATTGCACTAACTATATCTGCATCAGAGTAGTTGAAAAATGTTTTCTGTAGAAAATCGTAAACTCGAATGTTAGTGGGTCCCTCTTCGTTTTATAGAAATTAATATCGTCACATTAATATGTGAATAGGAAAATTCGAGGGTATGAAGCGGTGCCCATTACACCTCCTTGTGAAACACCGGGACGTTTCACCGATGACCCCATAAATAACGGAATGTACAGCCATTTGAGCGCAGTACACCGCTTACGCGCCTCCAAAGGTCATTGGTTCAGATTTATGAAGCTTACATCCGCGAGCGTTGCCGTTTAATTAGCATAGGACCCGCTCTTTGTTGAAGCGGAAGATGATTCGGTTGACTGTGTACTGATGACTTTACGTGATTGATTGTTTATGGCTTCTGCGGAAATCTAATTTGAATCGACCCCGAAACAACCTTGATTTATTTTTAAACGTGACTGAGTTCAAAAGACATAAAGGCGTTCGGTAAGCAAACGCAAATTGTAAAGTAACAAACCGAAAATTTTTCATTGTAAACTAAACAAAAGCTGAAACTTCTTGATACAGAAATGTGGCAAACAAATTTTTCGTTAAGAACAATAATGCTCCCGTTGTTCCATTCACCGATCTGCCTTGGGAGTTCAGCTCAAATGGAATTGATCCTTTACCGCGCGGAGTTTTCAATTCGTAGCTCGGCAACGGGCTTTATTAAAATTTCACCTCAATACATACAGAGGAACGTGACGTCGATGACTTTGTACTTTGAGCCTTTATAATACAACAGTAATTCACCCACTTATAATCAATAGGTTTTTTTTATGAGACATCGTGAGAGAAAAGGGAGTTTGAGATGTAATGTGGTATTCAAATCGACGTATCGCTGTTAGTTATTCGTATTACAATGAAACGTTACTATGCGTTTTCGTAATGACAGAGATATCACGGGGTATTTCTTAAGGCTCATTTATGCCCGTAGCGCGTTGTGAATTAACGTGTGACAGTTATATTACTAGACAGTGATTATTGAAGCAAGATTTAGATTATGAGAATAACTTCTATGCTGGGCATACATTTCTCCCGAGTCAAGAGAAGTAGTATCTGGTAGTTACTTTAAAATTGATTGTTATGTGGATTTAGTACAATACTTCCAAATTTGTTCCGTTTGGCTAATGATTGAAATATTACGAAAATAAACAATAGACAAACTTTTAAGACTATTATAGACTATTATATTGTTTTTCAGTTTGTCCATATATTAGACGTATTGTATCATTAAAAGATACCTAAAATGAAAAATAAAAAATTATCATTATAAATCTACCGTTAACTTCATAATGTTTCAATCTATCATTAAATATTGTATCTGCAAATAATACAGTGCAAATGAAATGCAATATGAAAATGGACGAATCAATCTATCATTAAATATTATATCTGCAAATAATACAATCCTCCAATATGAAAATGAAGGAGATAAACCTTTCCCGTTACTAATTATTCATAATAAGACTCCGCAGAGGCATTAAAATTGCCGAGGATAAAAACGAATTTGGCCAACATAACTGAGACGTGGCGCAATTATCCTCCCCTTAATCGAATTCCCTCAGATGATTTGCCTCTATTATGAAAAGATTTTGATTGCACGAATCTCAAATGATATTTATGTAATTACGTTTCATTATGAAGACGTATCAAAGGCCTAATGGTATGTGACTAATTGGAAGTTATTAGAGCGCTCCGTACCTCATTCCGATGACTAAGCCGGACTAATGATGGAGTTAATAGTTTTTTTAACTGCTATAAATTAAATGCTATTTCCATTGATAAATTGTTTGCATGACATTCCAAACCATACTAGAAGATTTAGTTACACATTTTTTATTTATAATGCGCCGAGTAACAGATGAAAACAGCAAAATTTATAAATCTTAGAAAAATACAATGCCAAAGACTGATTTAATTCGAAACATACTGTAAAGATAGTTTTAATGTTTGATAACGGTGAAATATTCCTTAACAGGTATCATTAAAAGAGCTCGCTCGATTTGTGTATGATTATCAAATTGGCATGTGAATTTTTACCTTATAAAACTTTATAAAACTTTATATCCGTTCATAAACGGTCGCAAAATAAGAGCCCGCTTTGCATAAATGAGTCCGAGGTGCATATGGGTCTTATGTAAATATGTTGTTCCCTTCCGCCCACCTACATAGAGACCGCACGACCTCACTTAGGCGAACCGATAAAAGAACATTTAATTAGACCTGCTCTTACATGCTCTCATGTAATGGGCAACCGAGTAATTTTGCTTATTATTTTATAAGTATCAATAGTATTATGAAAGGTCAAGTAATAGAAAAATTTGATTACTCAACGTTCACGAAGTTAATTACGTAACAATTCATAATTAACACGCGTTTCAAATTTAGAACGACCGCCAAATTATGTATTTGCGTCGGTCTAATCCAATTGGTCCGACGCTGCGTTATTTTTACAATGGACGTGGCATAATTTAATTAGCTCTCACAGCGCGGCCTTTTGGTTAATGCTCGAGAGGGGCGGATTGCCCGTCATTTCGCGTATTATGGAGGAGCACTTGTTACGGGGCAGCCGGTCCCAGGTGACGTCGGGGACCGCACTTAGCTTCGCACCTGCTTACGTAACGTATGGATACAATATAAACGACATCCGAACTTAATACACGAGCAGGCCGGGAAATATACACTTGAATTGTTTGAATTAGAAAAATCAACAGATACATATTGAACATTAAAGATACATATTGGAACGACTATTTTGTATGAATCGAATAATCATATTAAAAATGTGTTGTTAAACTGTCCAAAAATGTATCGCCCCTTCCAATATTCAAACTTGCGCGTTATGGGCATTGATACTGTATACAAATACGAGGTGGATGACACTAGCGCACCAAAACTGAGGCACTCAAATTACACCAATTGGTGTAATAGATTGCAATTATATAGATTCCTATCTCTTTCCGTACTATGCATTCTATATCGCCTGTCACATTCACTTATAAATATAATATAATGTAAAGCAGAACAATATATAAACACCGCGCAGTATGGACATGCGTCATCTAAATTATTAAACATCATTGCTTATGAGTCATCGATTATTCTTTGTTTGTAATTTTCTTCAATTTATATTAACAATTAACTTTCAAAATTGTATTCAGCTGATCACAACTTAACATACAACCAAAGTTTTGCACGCATAATTAATTTCGCTCATTAAAGGCGTTGTTCGAAATTGGATTAGTAAAAGCTGATTATTGGTAAAGTTAACGAATGAGAATTAATTTTACTTTAATTAAATTTATATTACATCGGTTCAACGCACGAGACAAAATTGATCGGTGTGTAAGAATCCTAGTTTTTGCGCAATGTCTGATTGTGATGGAAGTCGTTTAATGCCCTCTAGATGCAACGTTGGATATGCAGACGCGTCGGTTCCCATAATTGATCGCCAGAACAGTCAGCGGGCAGCGTAAGAACCGAGATCTGTCTTGTTATTACGGCTCGTTAAAGCTCAGACTTAACTGCTCCTGCTAAATTGAAGTTTCTGATGCAAGTTCTCGCATAAAATCTGCCCATGAGACTCGCAGAATTGGCAAAGAATGAATTTTTAAGGCAGCGGGTTAGTGTACAAAAAACTATAGGCAAAAATATTTTTTACAGATTTTATTCGTTCAAATATAAATTCTGTTCACGGAAAATCGATTAACGGTTCTTTAAAAATGTAACAATTTTTTATTGTATTATTGTTGTCGTAAAATTTTATTCGCATTAAAAAAATGCAAGATTTAGAAGGTATGGTTAGTAAGTTGCCTGTTAGTTCTCATTCAAAGTTACACAAATATATCAAAGCCATAAATACGCGTCCAAACCTTGTATAAACTTTTATTGCGAAATTAAAACACCCATTGGAAGTAATAGCTAAAGTTCTTACACGTCAATTCATCCTACTCATCCACCCTAAATGAAGGACAGTATAAATCTGAAGAGCACTCAAACATTATTAGAATAAAGTTTGAAATTGTCCATCTGCTGTTCCACCGAAACGTAAATAGCTGACCGAGAATCGCCGCTTAAATATGGTTCTCATTTAAAAAGCCCAACTAAAAGTCATCTGGAGTCTGTGTGTGCGCTACTGTAATTTATATTTCTACTAGCGACCCGCCCCGGCTTCGCGCGGGTGCAATGTATTATACATATAAACCTTCCTCTTGAATCACTCTATCAAGTAAAAAAACCGCATCAAGAGCCATTGCGTAGTTTTAAAGATCTAAGCATACATAGGGACAGACAGACAGCGGGAAAACTTTGTTTTATACTAGAGATTAGTTAAAGCGACAGAACTTCGGGGGAGACTAACAATTTAAGTACAACGATTGTCTCCCGATGAAATTGTATGCGTCTTTCTCAACTTTTCATCCGTGCAGTTGCAGTTTATGCGGTTAAAGAACGCCCCTGATTAGAGGACGGCCGAAATTTCGCTTGTGACGAAATTCTGTCAAGAATAATACGGCCAATTTGCTCGGAACTTATTCGATGGTAACTCGCCTTTTTTGCTGTTCGCGAAAAATTGCGGATTTATGACTCCATTGAAGTTGATTTAGAAATGAAAATAGAATTACAGCAGTTAGCCAAAGCCGAGTTGGAAGTTTTTTTTTTAATCACAGCGTTTTTGCAAAGTATCACAAAGTTGTTGAATGAAAGCTAATGAAGTTTTCAAATATCCATACTAATATTATAAATGCGAAAATAACTCTGTCTGTTTGTCTCGCTTTCACTTCAAAACTACTGAACCGATTTAAATGAAATTTGGTAGACAGATTGTTTACAGCCGGGCTATTATTTAATTGGAAAAAAGTGTTGTAAGAGGTGGCAAGATATTTATTTAAGGACTTCAATGCGAGCGAAGCCGCGGGCGAAACGCTAGTTGTTTTATATAAGTTCATCATAATCGCCATCCTCATGCTCTCATCCCACCTGGGGGGGTCAGCACAACATGTGAATCATATTGTAAGCGGTTTTGGCTTTTATTAGTGCCTGACGTCAACCCTCTTTGGGAAACAAACCAGTTCTGGAATTATCTGTGGGTCACACAAATACTTATAGCGTGAGGGAATCGAACCCACGACCCCCGATGCCGAAGCCAATAGTTTAGCAACGGCCTCTTTTTCACATTTGTTTAAGTTGTCCCGATTAAACATGCTTATAATGATTTAAATAGTTATTCTATGTATGAAATGTTATTCTTCTGATCAAAAACAATTATTTAAGCTATTATTAACATTGATGCATTCTTTTTAGCTCTGTGGACTTGCTTAACTGCTCTGCTGTTTTATCATAAAATTTTCTGATTTTTAATGTTTATGAGTTACGTGAAAATATCGTTCGAACAATTATTTATTAGTGACCGACGCATTAATTTTAGAAGATTATAAAGAAGCATCCTAAGAACTAGAGTCTACCAAATATTGTCAATTTTGAAGTTTTACGTCCACTGCAATCTTACTTCTGAAGTTTTTATTCGCAACAAGCGCTAGACAGATTGTTATCTACAAACTACTTAGATTCTTTTCAGAAACTCTACAAATAAAACTTACACAATAAACATTACGATTAATTCTTGACGGACTACTCTATGCGTTGTTTGCTCAGATTTATATATAAACGAAGTGGCTTTATATCGATGTCAAGCCAATTTATACACAAGTGAAGAGAAATGTCAGAGAGAGAGGTTTTCAGTCTTATCCGGTGAAGTTACGCCGCAGATTGAGAGCATCTATTTGTTTCTGTCTACAACAAGTTGCCCCGAAGTCCTTGCGCTGTACTCTAGTGATGTTACATTTTTCTGTTTTTAACATCGAAACTTAAGTTCATCGGATGCTTGTTTATTGTGCCTTTCGCTACACCCGTAACTTGAAACTTCAACAAAAAATTCATTATGATTAAAAAAGTAACTGCTTAATACATGTCCCATTGTTGGGCTAAGGTAAACTCTATGCAGAGTATTAGGGCGTAGTCCACCACGCGCCCCGTTACACATTGACGGACTTCACATGTCTTCGAACAATTATTGACTTCGCAGACTCATGATAACATTTTTATAATTAGGTAATTGAATAGTTTACTATGAATAACTAATATTTTAAAATCAATTCAATTTTTCAATCACCATAATCTCGGGCGGTAATTATACATTTTAACATTAACATCTATGTAATATAATATAATTAATTACCCATATTATTTTAACATCTGCGACCATTATCGATACATAGCCAATAGGTGCGTGATGCACATCACTAGCGCTGCCGTTACTCAAAGAGCGAAACAAAAAGCCCCGACGGGATTGCACCCGGCGGGTAGTTGTGAAGAAATGCTGTTTTGTCACTGGACGCAGGTGACAATGGCAATTGCTACGTGATTCCTTCGCTCCGAAGTGTCGCCTGCCATTTGTCGGCCATCGGGACACCGAAATGTTTTTAGTTTTATTTATAAAAATCCATTGGTATTTATTGGTATTTATTTCATATTTATTTATCCATTGGTATTTATTTATTAATTGATGGATACGAAATATGGTCAACGTGTTTTATTGTTCTTTTTTTATATAATAAGATGGGAAGCAAGCTGGTAGTTCACCCGATGTTAAGTGATAACTACCGCCCTGGACATCTACAGCAATCGTACGGTCGCAATGCGTTGCCACCTTATAAATAATATGGGCTCTGGGCTTCCACTTCAACCTGGTCTTTTGTGAGGCCGTGGTACTAGCAATATACATTCGCGTTTCGTTTGGCGAGTGACGTAGCCGGGCCCACTTTTTTAAAGGTTGGCAACGAATCTGCTACCCGTCAGGTGTTGATGTCCATGGGCGGTGATCACTTTAAATCTGGTGAAGTGCTCGCTTGCCAACTTTTCACATAAAAAAGTACTAGTACATTTATCATACCTCAGTATACGCTGTGTCTGTATCAGCTACGCTGGCTCTTGAATATTTTTTTTTTCAGTCATTCAAGCCATTTACTAATTTACAGCCAAAAACTTTCATCACCCAACCTTTATCTCCTCAAAGTACGACAATTCAAATAACGAATAATCTAGTAAGTTTACCCGCCTACTTATTTATAAGGCGATGCGTGTCCTACAATAAGAAAGGTAGTTCTTAAGATCGAAGTTACTTTATCTACAAACGAGATTATGTAAAAATGTTGAGAACTTTCGCAATGGGTTCAGCCTGTCGGCCTCGGAAACTAGCGATGCGTATTCCCTTTTTTCAACGACTTACTTACATCCCTTTAAATGAAATTTCATTTTGTAACTACATTTTACATATATCGCTTCGGCATTTTTAACGTTAATTTACAAATGGTTCTGAGATACTTATTCAAACGCTAATCAAGACCAAAGCAAAGACAATTGAAGCTAAAAAATTAACCAGGAGTATTCTAATTTACTGACAAATTTGTTTATCATTTTAAAAATGGTTCGTTATACAGAAGTGAAGCGTGGGTGTATCATTCTTTGGTAAGATTATGGGCGGAATAGCTCGCTTTTAATCCAATATACTCGAGCAACCTGAGTTCGATCCCCGGTGCCGGCACCAATGAAGTTTTTAACTTTAAGTGCTGACTTATCACGTGCTCCGCGGTGAAGGAAAACATCGTGAGGAAACCTGCATATTTTCGAAATAATAGCAAAAAAATATATATATTTCGAAGATATGTGAAGTCTGCCAATCCGCAGTGGGGCCGCGTGGTGGACTGATACACTCTGTATAGAGGAGGCCTTTGGGACATGTATAGGCTGTTAATTTACTTTACTTTTTAAGTGTCAGATAAGTCAGTTATCTGCTGACTGCTCAGCAGCGAAGGATACAACCGTGAGGAAATCTGCGTACGTATGTAATATTAAAAACAAACGAAACAATAACAAAAAAAATATTTCGGAGATATGTGAAGTCAGCCAATCTGCAATGGGACCGCACTGTGTACTATGCCCTAATACTTCCCTGTATAAAGGAGACCTTCGCCTAACAGTGGAATACCCTTCGCATAGTTATATTGACTGTAACTTTATTAACTTTTATTTCAAAGGCGTTAAGACGCAGATGCAACCAATTCGTATAGAGAGTGAAACTTAATATGTGTAAACGCAATAGCTTTTCTAATCATATTGCGTTTACAACCCCACCAAAAAGAACAGCGGTAAAAGTTAGCCGGTTTCTTATATAAAACAAAACATGTTCCATCCGTCCGTATTTTAATTCTAACCCGATGGATAGGGAGGCGTGATACTGCTATCCACGTGGATATATTATATATACTATTATATAGGAATAACTACTTAGCTATCTACCCTGTTGATTGCAACAGGGTAGACAACTTAGTAGTTACTCCTCCCCACTCCATTACCTTCTGCAGTTCCATTCTCGCTTTCGAGCCGGCGCTCACTGCACCGATTGTTTATCGGCGCCCATTAAAGGAGGCTCTTTAACGAGAAGCGACGAACCTCTGGACGCAATTTCTCGATCCGCGACTGGAACTGGTTGTTTAACAGGTCCCGTCGCTCTTGCGTCGGACGAGATTATCAATCTCGCCGGGCTTAAGTGGTGGCGACGTCTAGAGTAACGGCTCAATGTCGCCGATAAAGCGCGAAGAACAATCTGAGCTATGGACCAGACTAATGTCCAATTAGTACGAGTGTAACACTGCACTCGGACTAAATCGGACTCGAGTTGATGTTGAAGATAAGGTGGATTTTGGTGTGCCTGTTGTAATTGTTACGTGATTTTCATTATCAGGTGATATTGATATTAACGAAAGTTGCGGAACGTATGCATTTTTGCTTACGTGCGGCCATTGAAGATTTCCTCGGTTAGAAGTGCGGAAGGCGAACGCTATCCAATAGAAATAATAAGCCCATACTTTTGTATATGCGTGTCCGGAGGTTAGCAGACCGGCGTGAAGTGGAAAGTATTAAAATATCGGGTTTCAGTGAGCTTTTTATCGAGCTATCGAGTATTGTAGATCTCCAGGTGAGCCTTAGCTCACACCTCACATCTCACCTTGGCTTAATTCTTAAATTAAGTATATGACCAATTATTATTATTTAGTCTAAGGTTCCGGTTATTAAGTGCTCAGCGGTGAAAGAAAACATATTGAGAAAACATATTAAGATATTTCAAAGAAAAGTGAAAAGTGAAGTCCGCCAATCCGCATATAGGCCGTGTGGTGGACTATAACCTAATGCCGTCTGAACAGAGGAAGCCGACATATATAGGCTGTTACTTAGCTTTTCTTTCGTAAGACCGCGGTGCAAAATAATTTAATTATAAATACAGAAGAGGTACCCGAGGAGAGAGACGCGGGCAAAGAGTAATTTTCCCTCTAATTCGGAAATCAACCCGTGACAAAACAATCGGGGCGTTACAAAAACTTCCATCGCCGTCTAACACAATAATGGAAGTTTGATTAATTCCAATTATTCAGTTCGGAGCAACCTTGGGGCGGAATCAAACAAGCCCTGAGACGCACGGGTGTACCGCGTCTGAGTTAACAAGATATCTGGTGAGCGCTGAAATCACAATGGCGCTGTCGCGACGGGAACTTATAATTGTCGTTAACTCAACTTGGATTGCCTCCAAGTGGCAAACATCCACAACAACAAACAGCTTAATGACGATTGTTAAACAAAATAAATAATACTTTTACATAACACACGCAAACAGGTACGCGTACATTCAGCTCATGGCAAGTGTTCAAAATATGTGTATATACAGACAAATGTCAATGTAGATAAAGGTTTTAAAGTCGGTACAGTGAGAGTCAATGTCCAAAATTTCTTTAAGAAATTTTACTGTCTTATCTATAATTATGTTTATATATATGTAAACTGCACAACGAATAATACCATGAAAAGAGATATAGCATAAACGACTATTTGTTATTGGTATAAGAAGATACGTTACAATATCTGCGACTGTACATCATTAGGCTGATATACATCAAGATGTCAATTGCGCTGCTAATATATTGGGCGTTGCTAAGTACCCGTCCCGTGGACGGAATCACTTATACGTCCAACGTTCTCCATACGAAACCGTTGACATGAAAAATCTCATGATGAACCACAGAATGAATCGCAATGGAGCTACGGACCCATAGAAAAAAACCGTGCTAGTCAGACTCGCAAACGAAAGTTTCTGTACCATTATCTATAAAAACGGTAAAAAGCCCAACATAAACATTCGTTTTTTTAGTATTTGTTGTTATGCAACAGAAATACAACATCTGTGAAAATTTCAACTGTCTAACTATCACGGTTCAAGAGATACGGCCTGAGGACTGACGGACAGACAGACAGACACACAGCGGAGTCTTAGTAATAGGGTCCCGTTCTACCCTTTGGGTGCGGAACCCTAAAAACGACACAAGTCAGTCGAAACGCCAACATAAATTGGTGTAAGAATTGCGAGCGGTATTAAAGAGAACAAATTCTCGGGTATTTTTTATCGCTGAAGATACATAAAGATGTGCTTTTCAAAAGCCGCACTACTTAGTAAGCTTAAAGCGCGTCGCACTATAACGAGAGGTCTACTTGTGAATTCCTACCATCTCTCTGCGATCCCGTGACAGATGCGACCACAGCCCCGGCTTTCTGATCGTCTTGCACTTTTGTATGTAAGGATATCCGATTACGCTCTTTGTCGTGATATAAGAGCTGGCGCGCCTTCAGATATACACCCAATTGCTACCGGGCGACGGTGTAGAATCGATGCGCGGCGCAGAATTAAGGCTTGTAGCCATTTGTCAATGCCCAACGGAGTTTCCACGACGGCAAAAAGCCATTCCCCGACACAGAATACAATCAAAACGAACACCAAAGTTGGGAGACGGTATATCTAATCTATTTCACGAGAAAATAAGACTCGGTCTATCTTTAAAACCGGCCATAACTGTCGGACATGTGTAGAACAAGGTGGTTGATGTAAAATGCCGTGTCTACAAGTTTTATTCGAAATTAATTCAATTATATTCAAAGTTGCTCATTCTCGTTCGGAGCGTACATTTCGTAAGAGCATCCAATACCTCTAATGTTACTTTGAAGCTGTGAAATATGTTTCGTGGGTTAGAATGTGACACGCGGTACAGTGAATAAAGTTCTAGCATATATAAATTAAATACTGGGTTCAGAGTTTCGTGTTATTATGTTTACTTTTGGAATAACCCGGCGAATGTATTAGCTTAATATGAAAGTTATGTTTATTTTCATGTATTGCATTTATGATTTCTTGTATTCAATCGAATGCTCGTATTTTTAAGATTTTTCTTACAAATTTATTACTTAAAAATTCTAGATATATGTTCAATAGTAATTTTATGTGAATAGTAAAAAATTCTAATCATTTTTAACTGCACTGTCACGAAATATGCTACTGTAATACCTAAGTATATAATTTAACTTGAGGTGTATAAAATTGTGAAATTATCATGTTTTCTTGAATCTATAATAATTATAGTACGACAACTTAAATATATAACTGTGCATAGAGAATGCGAATTTAAACAGATTGTACATTTAGAAATACCTCAGTTCCACATTGAGTTATGACCATTGAGTTTCACAACGCTATCCTTTTGTTTGTGAAGCGAATTAGAAATGCAATATCGCAGAGTGCAAAGACATAACAATGCGTCTGGTATGTAAGGTATTGCTTTTTCCAACCTAAAGAGTAATTAAAAGCGGTGATGCATTTGTGAGTTGTTTTGTGTTACGAAATTTAAGTGAAAATGTGAACGAATAAGTGATTAACAATGCAATTTTAAACCAAACCACGCTAATAAGAGTTAATCTTGGCATAATGCTCGCGTAAAAATCTATTAAAAAAAAGAAGTAATGAAAAAACATATAAAGAAACATAGGAAACCTAACGTCAAAATTATAATTAACATTAACTTGTAAGTGTGTCATTTGATTAACGTCAAAAAAATTGTCGGGTAGTGGTAGTATTCAGTGTTAAAATAACATTAATATTACTGGTGAAGTAAAAAGATAACAAATTTATTGCGTGCAATAAACAAATACTGAATACGAAAAACAAAAACAATATTATTCTCAGCTCTACAATTTTTTTTTTCGGAGGCAAGCGAGCAAGCCGTTCACCTCAAGTTAAGTTATAACCCCCACTTTCTACGCCTACAACATTCGTGCAAACGCACTGCTAAAGGGCTAACCTTATCAAAAGTATACAAATGTTCCAAACTGACCTATTCATACAAAAGTAGAAGCTGATAACGTGGCCCTGTAATAAAATTATAAAAATATGTCGGAAAAAAGGACAAAATACTTTCACATAAAATTACGTTACAAGAATTCTCAGTAACTGAGTTTCCATTCAAAAATCTAAAAGCCAAAAACGTAATTCGCATATGCATTATTACTACCGTGCACGTTCAGCGTAATTCGCTAAATTAGTAAAATTGTTAAATATGAGTTATTTATGTTCACTGTGTAAACTCGTAAACTGTGGAAAATTAACGTATCATAAATTGGGCTACCCGTGCGAAGTTAGGGCGAGTACGCTAATATAACCATATCTTTGTCGAATTTCACAAATATCGTGGAAGTGAAAGAAGTGGTTTGATATCTGTTCAATATTTTACAACGCGTATCGTACATTTTAAAGTAATAATATTGAGTGTTAACCAAATAGTGTGCAATTATTTCATCAGACTAATTAAACTAACGAAATTAATATGCTGACAGTAATAGCAAAATTCGGCTATGAATAAAATAATTAAAGCAATCCTCTCGTACGGAATTATAAGGCAAGTTTTGTAATGAAGAGTGTATGATTTCAGTTTAATGTTATACCATAGACCAAGCGACTATTTTTTTCTTTTTAACTTTTTTTTAATAGAAAAAAAAGGAGGCAAACGAGCAAGATGATATACTTTTTATTTTTTATGCGAAAAGTTGTCAAACGAGCAGACGGTTCACCTGAAGTTAAGTGAATACCGCCGCCCATGGACATCTGCCACACCCGAGGGTTTGCAGATGCGTTGACAACCTTTTGAAAATTGGGCTCCGGCTACCTCACTCACGAAACTCAGACGAAACGCGAAAGTATTTGTCATACTTCCACTTTACGCTGGTCTTCTGTGAGGTCGTGGTACTTTGCCGGACGGGCCTGCCCATTCGTGCAACAGCCGAAGCTGCTGCGTGGCCCTACCACCGGTATACGCGTTATGTTGAATTATATTAATTTGAAAAATGTTCATAAATTTTCATAAATATTACATCATTTTGCAATTCCTTAAAGTAAATATTGTACCAATAACATATTCAGTATAAATACAAAATAAAGCATGTATCAATAACCTTGTATTAAAATAAATATTTTTGGATATTTTACATTAATTAATAATAATGTACTTACGAAGAACTCAAGGCTTATTCTCTATGTTTTTCAAATGTAAACTAACTAAATTCCTATTCGACCAATTTACCAAAACATGCTAGCAAAGAGCTCCTGAGACTAGACCAATTCCCAATCGTGATTTAACTTATACAAGTGTCAAATCTCGATGCAGTGACGTGTCTATGACATCAAATTCATAGTCTATGACAGCTGTCCACCAAACTATGGCCGGTTCGTTACGAAGCAGATTAATATTTCGTCGCGGTAAATACGTTATGCGACGGACAGTGGGTGGAACTTGCACGGCTAAATTGTCGAAGTTGGCTACCCTGGGGGTAGTCGTATTTTAGGGTTGACGCTTTAGTGAATTCTTTAAGACCTCCCGAACATAAATTTAACAGATAATGCCCGGTATTCGATGCAAATAGCGATCTACGTA